TTTAGAACCAAAGAAGACAGTACCATCTGGCATATATATTTGATAGATATAGACCAGAAAAACACTAAGAATCTCATTTCTGCATTTAAAGCATGTTAATTATTCCTTCGCTCACGTTGATTTCAATTCCAGGTCTGGAAATAAAATATATTGTGCATTTTCTTTATCACCGACTCATTTGTTCTCAAAAAGTCATGAGCCAACAAAACGCGATGTGGCGAGATGACGAGAGTGTTATTTCGTACTACAGTTAGTTCCTTTATTTGGATGTTGATGTTTACCCGTTACATGTTCTCACAGGTCCTGTCATACGCAGATTGTGCAGTGCGTTTTTTTAGTTATATGTCACCTTTTCCTGTTTTTCCTTTTTACCATAGCAACTCCCCCATCATCTCCAATGTCTCTGCATATTGACGAGCTTGAAGATTTCGATCCCATACCTGTAAACCGTTCTGTAAAATTTGATAATTACAATGATTCTCCACCATCATCAACTGCATCACTGTCCACGTTGCCAGATGCATTCTCGGAGTCAAATTTGCTGAGTCAAAATCGGATTAATTCGTTACCATCAATATCCATCGGTAATAATTCATCAAATGAATTTAGACGTAATAATCGAGGGTCCGGTGTAAGTCGAGATGTTCTAGATCTACTATCAGATTCAATTTCTGTTAACACTTCATCCGACCGTAAAGAAAATGATTCGGTCTCTGATGATCTCATTCAACTGCATGACAGGGATTTTGAATCAACGGATGGCTATTTAAATTTTAATGAAATTAACTTTAGTAACACAAATAAACCACAACCACCTCAAATAAGTCTGCAGAAATCAAAATCTATAGAAATTGAACGCGATATATTTAATATCGAGGCTGAAGATATTCTTACATCGCCATCAGTAGTTTTACAGACAACGATAGTCTCACAAAAAACTCATCAAGGTCTTAAAGCAGACGAACAGCATCAGATTCAAATTCCCGGTTTACAGCAAACGTATATCTCACAAAGAACTCAGAAAAGTCCTCAAATAAATCAACAAAATCAAGCGCAAAAAGAATTAATAAAGATCGACGTAGCCCATTGTCAATTTAAATATCGAGGGACATCCCCGCATTCTTTAAATTCACGATTTCCTGGTGATTTGGCATTCTTATACAAAAGTCGCGATAATTATGAGGGAGGAGGAGAAATCTCGATTTGTATTGAACGAATGTCTATTGAAGCGTTGATTCCTATAAATCAGTTATGCGGATTCAAGATTACAGGAGGTGGAAAAATTAATTTAAAGTTCAACCGAAATTTTCAAGTGAAAGTGAGTGTTTCCTTTTCGTATGCATATTCAGAGGATTGTTGAAAATTTATGATACAACATGTGGAGCCATTGTATAAGGAGGCGAATGTTGATTAGCTGCTTCTCTTGTCGAATTTCGCATTGAAATTAAAATTCTGATTGATTTAGTTTCTTAGACATCTGGGTGGATATCCATATTTATTGGAGCCCACAATACTTGAAGAGGATCCGACAGGAATATTTGACAATCTATTGTCGGTAGTTTTGGCATCCTATGGTTCGGTTGAACTGTCAAAGCTATCCGCTATCGAGAAAAATATTGAGACTGAATGGTTTCACAAGTGCAAGGTTTGTAATGAAGTTGATAGGGTTGATGGACAAAAGGAAAGTATATAAACTAACAAATAGCTATGTTAGAATTATATTCATAAATTTGATTCGAAAAGTATTAATATTGGCATCTATTTCGTAATTTTCGACTATTTGCCAAAATTAGTTATACCTTACGTGCGTATTTCCTACCGAGAAACGTGCAATGGCATGTTCGATTGATTCACCATTTCACAAACTATACTCAGATCTCAAAACGAGATTTGATCTTAAATCTTCAAAGTTGAACCTCAAATATAAAAACAGAAATGGAGAATTGATTGATCTGAAAGATGAAGACAGCTGGGAGTTGGCGAAGAATGAGGCTTACGGGAAGAATTTAGTGAGATTGGAAATTCATATTTGGTAACTCAACCCAATATGAAGTATGATCCTTTTTAGATCTAGAATTTTGTGCTTTCGCGCTTTGGGTGTTTAATAAAAAAGTTTAACAGACATAACATCAACATTAACAATTTGACATATGGTTACTAGGTATAAATATGAACTCTTGACTGTCTAGATCTGTTATATCATTCCAAGTTCAACAAGCATTCAAACTAGTCATAAGTGATCATCTTACTCAGAAATCAATTTGATGCATTTAACAGAAATTTCACGGATAAGCAGCAATTAATGCATATTAAAAAATCAATTGTTTTTTTAAGTTTAATTTTCGATGAAAAATATTTAATAAAAACATTTAAAAAATCTCTCTTACCATATATATTATTCGAAAATCAGTATTTTTGTTTACAATCAAAAATCGAAAACCAATGTTCATCATTTATCTGCAAATATAAGCTGAATAAAATAAAAATTTTACTTAATAACGCAATGTATTCTATCTAAAATAGATTAGAATTCAAAGAAACCTCATAGATAAGATTTTCAATCTCTATTATTGTACACTATTAAGCTTTTTATTAAATATACTATTTTAAAAATGCATAATACATATATAAATTATAAATTAATATTTTGACATCATTATTTTCAAATTGAGTACATCTTTAAATTGTATTATGGTCAAATCTGTGTAATAAATAATATTAAGATTTGATGTCATTGCACAGCTTGTGACTACTTGTGTATTAAAAAAACCAATATACTATTACATATAATTCTATTAACATCATAATTATCGAAATGTTTATATACTATTAAATAAATAATATATTTGTCAACTATAATTATATTTTTATTTTTAATTTATTAATTTGAATACAATTTGTTCTTTAAATTTAAAATATTTTTTATGTTGTCTTTTAATTATTAGAATATTCTTATTCTATTTAAATTTTAATTTCTTTAAATATAAATATATTTTTACAATTTAATTATTTTTAAAGTTTAAAATTTTATTTAATAAAATCAATCTTCATAATTTATAATAAAATTTACTCTATATTGTATTTTTTTAATATAAAATTTAATTAAAAAAAAACAAAAACTATAAATTTTTGAATTATAAATAAAAAAAATATTTGTAAAAAGTTCATAAATTTGAATTCATACTATTTATACATTTTTTAAATAACTTAAAATATTAAAAATTAATTTTTATATTTTAACTTATTAATATTTTTTATAATTAAAAATTTAAATTTTATTTTATTTTTATTTATTTTATATAATCAAGTTAAATTATAGTTTATATAAATATGATTTTATTTAAACAATATAATATATATATTATTCAAACTTTTACAAATCAATTTAAAAAACTTATAATAAGTAATAGTAATTTCAAATTTAAATTTTAAAAAGAATATTTTATTTTGTAATAAACTTTAAATAAAAACTCTTTTAATTTATTTATATATTATAATGAATAAATTATTATTTTTGTATATTATATTGGATTATTAAAATACAAAAAATTACAAAAGAAAATAAATAAAAATAGAAAAAAACATCTAAATATATATAAATATATAAAGAATAAAACTAAAAAAAAACTCTTTACACTGATCCTCCTTTTTCTTAAAAAAAATTTTTTTTTGATAATTTTTTGAAAAAAGCAAACCTGGTTAAACATGCAAGGAAAAACAATATATCTTTCAAACCAAGCTACCAAGCTTTTGCAACACACATACAACAAGTCTTTCAGAAACATTAAGAAAAGAGGTATACATTGTTTTATTAACTTTCTTTTACTTCCTTTTCTTAAAAATTTTTAGAAAAAAGAAAAGAGGCCTGTAAACTGATTCACAGTCAGAAAAAGTGAGCCAATATCAACTTCACACAGCTTATAGCTA